CATATGGAGAAAATAAAGATACATTCAGATTACCCTTCATACATTACATTAATGCCAATAAGAGCCATTCCAATCACTGCCATTTTCCGCAACCCATGCGCGGTACACTAGACGCACTGCTACACCATTCATGCCTCGCTGTAAACTATACAATCGCTTTACTGCTTGGTCATAGAGAGAAATAAATTCTTTGAAGGCTCGCACAGCAGCGTTATGAAAACTCCTGTCGAGCACTGTCTTGTAAAGTGGCTCCCTTATCACCTGTACCAAGAATTATTTCTCAATTATGCGAACACTTTAAGGAGACATCATATTCAGCTACTTACCAACCGACACAGGAGCTATCAAAGGTAAAAAAAAAATCTGTTAGATGGTTACTTGAAAAGTTCACTCTTAATTATACCTTAAAATATTTTTTTCGCATTCTAGCGAACTGTTCATGGTCGTGTTGTTCTGACAGTACTGCAACAGCTTATACGCAATGACCAGACTTGATTTTTTGATGCCTCTCTAGTTTGTCAAATGCCTTTGAGCAGTCCGTATTTTTATTGTCTTCTTGGTAATCACTGGTTTTTGTATAAGCTATAACTTTTTACAGTTGCCCCATATTCATAGTGAAACAATGCATAGTTCATATGGTAGAGACGGAGAAAGTTAAATTGACAGTTTGTAATAGTAAATAGGGTACTTCTACTTTTTAATCTACTCTAAAGAAACAGCATCAGCTGCGTGACAACTCGCACAATGTGATGGTAGCTTTGTACAAGGATTCAGTAAATACACTCTATAGACTTGTTTCATGTTTGTAAACAGTGGTAGGCATGGCCGACATACTGAGGCACTTGTAGCGACGTCGCTACAAGAGCCTTAGTATGTTAACAGCACCTACATCCGTTTGCAAACATGAAATGTGTATATAGTCGGATACAACTTCAGAAGTCCGCACAATTCGCTCCTCAAAGGCAGATGCACACAAGCCTACACCAATGGGCGTACACTCCAGACGAACATCACGAACCGGATGGCCGGTAACCCCGCCTTGAGAGGACATTGCCGATTGTATGAGAGAGACTAATTCTTTAGAGGTAGGGGTGATCGGGTTCCGTGCTTCGGTTGTCTGCTCGGGGCCTTTCCGGACGTCGTAAGTTGCATCCCACCGTATAAAACAGATGTCCCCAATCACAGGAGTGTACACGAGCCGCAGTGTTGTAATAATTATATTCCGGAGTATGAGAGCCTTCCACGGTGCTACTTGAGCACCATCTCGATCGCACGTCAGCCAACAAAGCAATAACGACTTGCCGTTTACCTTGAGAGCGACTTGCTTCAGCCAGAGCCTTTCACTGAGTGGGTGCCGCCACCACCACGTGCGCGCGCACTAAGCGCATAATTGTTCCGCACCAGGACGCAATTTTGATTCCTCGCCACGCCCACCGAGTTTCATTATGGTCGAAAAGCAAACTCTTGCGCTTACATTTTGGTGCACGTTCAAAAATCTCAGGCAGCCAAACTTGATTCGATTTCATAACTGTGGAGCGATGTAACGCAATCGATGAGCTTCATTAGAGACTTCATCTTGAAGCTTTCTTAGGTGAAGCACATTAAAAAGTATGTACCGTGTACAAAGCACAAGAAAGAAAAATAATTTGATAAAATCTGCCTTTGTCAAGAAAGACTTCGACTTACCGCGGCCATGAGCGTGCGTATTATCGCCGCTGTTCTCAGACTTCGTGGTTGAGAAAATATTGCCCATAACTTGTCTGGTAAAATGTGCAAGCACATTGTTTTGTTGTTACCTAAATTGTCCGTATACTTTGAAATCGCAACTCATACAACAATTTAAAATGACCGAGCAGTGGAGCACGTTCACCGGCAGATTCTCTCCGCAAGACGTAGCTTTACTCTTGGGGACCGTGGAAGGAAGTAGAAAAGATTCCACTACACTGGAGCCCGCAAAGCCAGCTCTCCAGACAATTCTCCCTCGACCTTTTTATTTTATGTTCCCATTCTTTTATGAAGTAGAAAGCTTCCTGTTCACGTCCCGCAGCGACGAGTTTCACGATTCTTTGATGTCAAAGGGGAAGAAATATGCCGCGAAGTGGTATATTTGTTCTCGCAGTTGGCGATAGAGTGCACGTATTCTCTTCGCCAGATCCGAAAGAATGAACTAGGGTGGAAATCACTTTTATCGCGTCGAAAGAAACTGCGGCTTAAGCTCCTGTACCAAATATTTTATGGTAAAACCGGCATTCGAAAAGAAAAGTATCTTCACAGTCCTCATTATATCTCTTCGCGAAATGATCATTGTTTCAAGATTTTAGAGTACCGTGCCAGATCTAATTTGTATGCTAATTCGTTTTTTGTTCGTTCCATTAGAGAATGGAATCACTTATCAAATGAACAAGTGTGCTGTATTAATGAAGATGTGTTTTTCTCGACGTTGTAACCCCCCTGCTGCACCGCCTTCGGGCTAAGCGGGGCAATCATCGAATAAAGAATAAAGAATAAAGTTCACAATAGAGAAACGACTGTTTTCCAAGATGTCTCAGAAAACGCCTGTTTTCGTATAAATTTGATCACGAGTAAGAACGCTTATATTAAATGCATTAGGCTGATCGCTGCACTACGGTGATTGAACAACTGGTAGGGACAGGGGACCTGGGGCACCATAAAAACGCAGTTATCTGCTCCTCTGCTAAAGAAGAGATATAGCGATGTCCTTGTTTTCGAATTTGTGGGCTCTCAAAGACACACGGCGTTGCAAGATTCGGCAGATATTAGTACAGCTGTCTTGGTCTCCGTGCTGAACTAGCGCCTTGACACCACTCGCGAACCTCTTCGTGTTCACTAACTCTATAACAGTCTTATCCTACAGACATAAACAAACGTCCACTTTAGCCTGGCTGACGTCACCTGTCTTGGCAGTCCGAGTTGTACTTTCTTACTCTCACATCAGTGAAGATCCTGTAGTAAAGCACTGAGTGACGATTAATACTCTTGCGGTCGTAACGAAAAAGCAAAGCTGCACAAATGGCTTGTGTCGATCATGTAATTTACACTTTGCTCTCGTGGTTGCTTGCGAAATACGCACAAAAAGATAACATGACGCATATTCAATATCACACAACGTTTCCGTACCTCACTTAAGTGTTTTCGGCATTGTTTGACATGTAGCCTATATTTCATAGTATATTTATTTCGCCGATTGAAGTGAGTGCGATGGGATTGCGCACTTATTAGGAGTAACTTTATAAAGTTATCGAAGGCACTCGCCCGTCTTCCGAACGTGCATCAACATAGGGTATGTGAATATAACTGCCGCTACAACATATCATTTGACATGTTATATGTCAAACCCACTTTTTGGACCCCCCCCCCCCCCCCTATATGCTTTGAGTACTCGCTGAAGGAAAGCAACAGCATTATGCTCAACCGCTGACCCACAGGTCGCGGATCGAATCCCGTTTGTGGTGGCCGCATTCACGATGGAGGGTAAAATGCCAAGGACACGTGTACTCATAGACCTATAGGTATAGCCCAGGTGGCTGGACTTTTCGGAGCCCTCCACCACGGCGTCTTTCATAGCCATATCGAGGTTTCGGTACATAGGAAACCTACCAATTCGCTAGATTTTAATGAAATAAAGCGTGACATTTTTGTCGGTAACCGCACTTTTATAATGAAGCAGTGTGCGAACAGCCTATAGATTATTCAGGTCATCCTCATTATCCACAAAGTTTATCTAGCATGATACATTACGATCCTGTCACATGGTTTTATGCGAGGAATGAAGACATACAATCATGCTCACAGATGGCTTGTAAACAAAACATGAGTCTGCCCAAAAACAAACAAGGAGTAACTGCTTACAGTATGTCGCGTCTAAGTTTATCTCAATTACGCGAGTGAGTAGTTGTCGAAGCTATGTGACAGAAACTATGGATTATATGTAGCGTACATCACCAAGAAGAATGTCCCTCAGGAATTCTGAGTATCCGCGCGCGTCCGTTGCATAATGTTTCCCTTTGAGACATCGGCGAATTTACCACTATGATGCTAAGAAGAACTGTACAAGCACAAGTAGTCACGGACTGTTACTATAGGTGACGGCAACTGGGATGTCCACCTGAAACATAAAAAGTGACTTGCGTCGCTGCGCTGCGTGCTTGCTGAGCGGCAGCATGCGCTTGCTTGCGTTCGTGCTTCCTTAGAAAGCAACCGCGCTGCTTCCGAACAGAGAGGAACGCTGAACGCACACGTTCTGTGAGTCGTTGATCTTTTGGATTCAGTCAAGTATTTGATGGGTCAAAGCTTCTACGTCGACGTAAATACTCCCCGATTGACGTAACTTGATGAGTTTCGTATGAGCCTTTTTGTTATTCTCGGGATGCTGTAACTCACCTGTTAATCTAAAGCTTCATTTTGCCCCCATAAAAAGTTATAATGCTTTGCGCATAGTCAATGGTAATAAATAAAAGGCGGACACAGCCGTCTGCAGCAGGGGTTGTGTCCGCCTTTTCATCTGTCCTTGTGTAATGCTTAGCCTCACCAGCGGAATTTACCTTCCGAACACTCTTTCACTGTGTGTGAAGCGGCATTGCGAATTACTGGCGAGTTGTGTGAAAAGGGAGTCAGCCTGTATTTCGTTCATCACATTCTCATTCGAAATGTTTTGTCGGGGCATTTGTTTGTGATCAAAGTACCCTGTTCATGGCGAATGAAAAGTGCTTCGTCTATGCAATTCTTTCTTCGCCGTTTACCTTGATATCAGTGTGAGCTGATACCAGGGTATATGGGCAAGGAAATAGAGGACCTACGCATAACGGTTATATGTGTGACCGTGCATGGTTACGTGAGAGTATGACTTCATTGGATGATAGCAAGTGCGGTACTCTGGCGTTTTCAGGCTGACATGCGTGTCCGCCTCTGCAGCCGAGGGCGCGTGAAACCGAAAGCGGCGGCTGTCCCACGTGTGACGCGCGCTGTCTGAGGAGGCTCACCGGCCGACGTGGTCTGCGACATCCAGCGATGTCCCGGCGGGTTCGAGTATCGCGCCTGGTCCTGCACCAGGTGCGGTCCCATGGCCGGGTGGTGGACGGGCACCACGGGCGGCGGCGGCGGTGCCATCACGATGGGTGGCGCGGGAGCCGGCGGCTTCCCGCTGGCCGCCGACACCACCACCACGGGTGGCGGCGGCACCATCACCGGCGGTGGCACGGTGGCGGCAGGCGCCACGGCTGCGCTCGTCACCTGCAGCTGGGCCGGCTCGACGGGGTAGCCGCCGCCGCTATCCATGGCCCTCCAGTCGCTTCCCACGGCGAGGGCCTCGTTCGGCCGCCGTCGTGCCTTCTTCCCGGGCTCCCTGCGCGGCGGCTCCTCGGTCCCCTCTCGCGAGCAGCAGAACGTCGTCTTCCCCGGAGCTTGCAGGCTCGCGGCTGACCCAGGCGGCTCTGCTGGCCCCCGCGGCGGCGCTGACGCGCGCAGCGCCGCGCCGGCGCACTGCAGGCTCGCCCTCCTCCTCCCCAGGGCCTTCCTCACGGCCGACTCGCGCTTCCCATCCCGGGGCTCAGTGGCCGGTCCTATGCCTTGACCCTATTTCTTTACTTTCTCGAGGCTTCGGAACCGTGACTTCCTCCCGTTTTCCACCACGTGCACAACCGCAGCAGTCGTGCCCACTCGTGGGGTCACGCTCGTGATACTAGCCGCTGCTGTCACCCGTGGCTTCGTCCTCAGCCGATGGCTGTTAACTAGCGCATAATTGGAGGCATGTTCATCGTCCGATTTATTCATGATGAAGACAAGTCATCGCAACCTTTCACATTCAGATTCAAGTCACTAGGTTATCCTGCTTCCGCTTTTGGGAGTAACTGATTGAAGCTTTTTTGTCCGGTGTTATGCAAGCGCCTAGCAACAAGCCTTTTTGTTATTTCCCACTTTACCCCCTTACCTTCTTCGTACTTTTTTCATCAGCCGAAATTCTTGTGACATGCGCAGACAAACATATTCAGCCTGTTGCTGGAGGTGAGCCTCAGGCGTCTAGACCATCAAGTTATGACACATGATATCAACAATATCAGAATAAGAAGGGAAAAAATCTTTTAGAGGCATCTGCAATGGACATTGTTTCAAAAAGAGTTTACTTTCGTTATTTGTCAAAAATTTGATTACGTGTTTGTCAGGGTTATATGCAAAAAGAGAGAGGGGAAATACAAGAAACATTACGCAATGCTGGTTTTTATTTGCTACTCAACACTATAAGGTGTAGAAATAGAAGAACTGAGGGAAGACAAGCAGATAGAGAGAAAGAAAGGAAAATAAAGGAAATGTTGAGTAAAGTAGTTACGACGCAGCCCAAGGTGATGAATGGAAGGCATGAAAGCGTTTACCTTGAAGGTAGGTTCACTTGTATGCGAGATTACCAGCAGCGCGAGTACATTTGCAAATAATAATAAAAAAAACTAGTAGTGGCTTAGCTGGGCTCACGCTACGTAGCGTGAGCTAAGCGGGTGCCGCTAAACTCAACGTTTCACGCATAGCACTAACTACCGACATCAAGTCTTCCATGTGCCACAGTCTTGCTCACACGTAGCAAAAAATCCAAACAGATTGCTTACGCAGTCTGTCTCGAAGGTCAGAGTTGATTGATTGATTGATTGATTGATATGTGGGGTTTAACGTCCCAAAACCATCATGTGATTATGAGAGACGCCGTAGTGGAGGGCTCCGAAAATTTGGACCACCTGGGGTTCTTTAGCGTGCACCCAAATCTGAGCACACGGGCCTACAACATTTCCGCCTCCATCGGAAATGCAGCCGCCGCAGACTGAATTTTATCCCGCGACCTGCGGGTCAGCAGCCGAGTACCTTAGCCACTAGACCACCGCGGCGGGGCTCGAAGGTCAGAGTTACACTGGTGTTTTCTCTAAGTTTGCTGTAGGCCTGTGTGCTCTGGCTTGGGTGCACGTTTAGGAACCCCAGGTGGTCGAAATTTCCGGAGCCCTCCACTACAGCGTCTCATAACGATATGGTGGTTTTGGGACGTTAAAACCCACATATCAATCAATTAAAGCTTTCCCTAAGTTTCGCCGTATAATCGGCCAATCGTCTTCCTGGAGACTTATATTTTCCAGACGTTCCTTCCTTTGCTCCGATGCCTCTGCATTACGTTAAGCCTTCTTCTGTTCGTTTTTTCTGCGCTCAACCGCTCATTGCCACGCAACTACTTCGGGATCCGACGAGTTAAGCTTCTTCGCTCTTCTCCGCCGCTGAGCAGCCAGTTCGGTCTCCTTCTCGATGGCTATAGCACACTGGCAAACATCCCGCTATATGTACAAAGCTTTGTGGTAGACGCGACCAAAGAGAGCAGCGTAGGTCGCGCTGCACGAGCCTCGGGGTACAACCAGAAGGCGTCTGCCGTGGACATGACGTCACTCCTCTGGAATGCGCAGACCGGCGAGGCGCGCGCAGGCACTGCTCCTTGCGCATGGACAGGGAGACCACTTTGGCTTGCCCAGTGTAGCTGACGCTACAAAAATGGCCACATCTTTATGCAATCATTAACTTTTTGTATTAGAAGGCGCGCTCTTCTCAGGCTCACTGACACGAACGCCCCGTTTCACATTGATAAAATAAGCCTCCAAGAATTTTCGTGCAACATATCTACCAGTGTGCGGATATTTGAACTAACTGGCCCCATACATGCTGGTGTTACAGTGCGTAGGTAAATACGCACTAACCTTAGTTTCAAACGTAGTTTATACAGACTGACTTGTGAACCTCTTGATCGTGGTGCTCTGAAAAAATCTCCTCACCACCAGCTGGTGGACACTGAAGAAGTAATAACTAAATACGTTTTCTTTCTGAGGCTGTGTCGTGAATTCAAGTTTCTCTTGTCTTAAAGCGAGTGCCTTAACCACTAGACCACGCTACCAAACTTGCCCATTGTGAACTTAACAGAAGCCTACGAGTGCGCTTGACCGACAAGGAAAAAAAAAACAATTGGCAAGCAGTGGACTTGCAGTGAGTGCGTCGTTGAAATATTTCAAGTTGGTGTAGCGATTTGCTAGAAGGCGCGTGAGGTCAGTGTGAGGAATTGTGCATTTCAGGACAATAAAATTCATAACACGAGTTTCCACGGTTTTGTGATGACACTTTCGTCGTGCCTCTTGATGGTGACGTACGCTGAAAAAGAACATGAAAGATGCCATGCCAATTCAGCATCGAAACATCGTTTTGGGAATGGACGCTAATAAAATTGAACGCTTACCTTAAGAGCAGCATGCGATGCAAACTAGAGAAAGAAACAAAGAAGAAAAAAAAACTAAAAATAAGCAGACAAATAAAAAAGAAAAAAACAAAGAAAAACGAAGAGAAGGAAAAAAGAAAAAAGAGAAAGAAAGAAAGAAGAAAGAAAGAAAGAAAGAAAGAAAGAAAGAAAGAAAGAAAGAAAGAAAGAAAGAAAGAAAGAAAGAACGAACGAAAGAAAGAGAAATAGAGTGTCAGGCACGTACCACCCATGTCCCCAATAACCCCGACAGGGATAGGGCTCTTGAATTAAATTTTATCATTGATGGAAAGTTCGGGTTTCTTTACCCTATCCATCGACCCAGCTGCTACTCTGGCCGATACAGAGTTTGCGCTAGTCAATAAAATTACCTGGCTTTGCGGCTTGTGCGACTCTGAGAATGGAGCCCTACTACTTCAAGCGGAACAAGTCTGGCTTCCTATATAGAAGGCGACGAGGAAGATTAATTTGCTGTGTTGCCTTGCCAAAGTTTCAGGGATAAAGCGGTGCAGGCAGTTGCCAAAAGCTTCGTCCCAACTAACGGATTCGTCAACAAGGTATTGACCTAAATTGTCACTCTGTATTAATAATTTAAACTCTTGAAATGGTCTAATAGAGGTTGCCCCGTATTCACAGACACTCCTCCAGTCGACTTTCACCCTTCACTTGACAGAGTTGAGCGCTGCGCCACCACTCGGCTAAAAATGACGCTGGGCTACTCAAGAATCGTAGCAGACTATCGCTGATATTCAGTCACTTGCCGTGCGTAGAGATGGTGCTCCCATCGGCTTTCTCAAGTGAAGGCGAAGCGTTGAGTGAAGGGACGTTCTAGAATACGGGGGTCAGTGCCTCTAAGTATTTCCCATTGTCAGTGTTTTTTATCATTAAATCCCACAAGCCAGATATGTCTTTCTGGGAAATAGTGAGCGAGTGGGCGCGCTGGGTGACAGAACTGAGAGAACAATTGAGCTTAGCCTTCAAGACTGAAACGCGATAGCGTAATCTCGGGCCATATTACGCAATCGCATCGCCTTCTCAGTTACTAACCTGGCTTTGGTTCTTAATGCATGCATCAACATTAGCCGTTTTAAACTATCCTAGAAGGAATCCTGCAGGTACAGTCGTTCAGAGCCCACTATACGCCATAGGTATTCCTTTGGCAAATCAGCACAGGGCTTGCCCCGCCGCGGTGGTCTAGTGGCTAAGGTACTCGGCTGCTGACCCGCAGGTTGCGGGTTCAAATCCCGGCTGCGGTGGCTGCATTTCCGATGGAGGCGGAAATGTTGTAGGCCCGTGTGCTCAGATTTGGGTGCACGTTAAAGAACCCCAGGTGGTCAAAATTTCCGGAGTCCTCCACTACGGCGTCTCTCATAATCATATGGTGGTTTTGGGACGTTAAACCCACCAAATCAATCAATCAGTACAGGGCTTACCCACTACGCGTCCATAAGGCAACACGTGAATCTGTGCACTTGCTCCCTTTGTGAATGTTTTTTGCAGCTGATGATAATTAAATATGTCGGAGACCTTTGTAATGGGTCAGCCTTTAAAACACTCCCTCGCTGTGCTATTCACTTGTTTTGATGGCTGCTCCGATTCCAGGGTTCAGTCACGCAATATTACAGGCGTTAGGAAGACTCCTTACACTACATGATAATAATATGATTTTTTTTTCAGGGCAGTTTCAAGCATTAGTGTGGCTTTTGTGGTGGAACACCTACTTGCAGTCGACCACCCCGAGTTTGACCTCTCTGGAAGCTATTATTATTGATATTTATTTTAATTCCATCTTTCTGAAATTTCGCGGTTCCGAATAAGAAGACGACCTTTTGCTCAGAACCAATGAAACTGACACCGAAATTTCTGCGAAACGATGTCTTTAACACTGTCACGTTAAAAGATTTGCCATTACTTGCTAAAGCATGCTAGTGCACTTGTATAGCAGATAACCTTTCATCAAGAGTGAGCTAAAAAAGCTTCTAGTTGGTAATTGGGGAAAGAGCATCGAAACATAAGAGGTAGAAAACGGAAAGAAGGAGGAAAAAGGTCACCGCCACAGCACTCCGTACAAATGGTTAACCAGCGAAAGCTTAAACGTGTGGCCCCGGTGTTTCGCAGTGGGTTCAACCCGATGTCTCACTGAAGCCTTCCG